ACACTGCTTCTGTCTAGCAGCCCTCCCCTCTCTCACCCCATTACAAACTCCACACCAGCCTCATCTTACCCATTTTGCCCAGCTCCAATTTCAGACTTCCTTTCTGGCCCCTGGCAGTGGTCTTTGCATCTCACATCTTCCTCCTCCTGCCCGGCAGGGACATAAGCCTTTCTTACTTGACTTGGAGCTGGCTCCATGAGGTTCCAGCCCGGCTGCAAAAAAAAAGTAGGGGGGATGCCAGATACACCAGTGCCACCCAAGACAGCAGCTGCTTGGAGCCCGATGGAGGCTCACATTGAACCCAACTGGTACCTGCCCTTTGTCGCGATGGAGCGGTGTGCACCTGCGTCCTGCCTGAGACTGCAGGATCTCCTGGGCTAAAAGGGATGCCAAGCCTCCAGCTCCCAGAGGCAGCCAGGGGAACGTGGGAGTGTGGGGATCGTCACCAACCTGGGGTCCTGTGAAAACGAGTGCCGGCCCTGCCCAGATGCTTATCGGATTTGCAGTGACACCCACGTTCTTTGCTGCCTTCTGACATTCTTTGCGGAAGACAAATAGCACGCAATCATTTCCTTCATTTCAACGCATGTAGTCAGATTGCTGCTTACAGTGAGCTACCAGACCACTTGTGTCTTTGATTAGCCACTCCCCAGGGCAAACTGTATTTAAAATAAGGAATCCTGATAGAATAGAAGGTGCCCCACCTTTTTAAAAAGAAGGTTTAGTTGTATAACTAGCGACTGGTCTTCATTTCTTGGCTGGTAACTTCCTCCTTTCACCACACCTACGTTACTGGCAGAAAAAGAGAGCAAACTGTTGTCAGAGACAGCAAGTACATGCCAAAGAAACTGTGGGATCCTTAAAATCTTCTACCTGTAGAAGTTTCATGTGGGCGTCCATATGCTGAGGCTGTGTGTTGTGTTCATCTACCTTTCATATGGGGTGAAAACAGGTAGGAAATCAAACATTTTTAATGTTTTTGTCAAATATAACCCTTCCTTTGCTTTGCAGATACATGAATGTATCATAGATGCATTATAATGTATTAGGTGCATCATGAAGTTACTATGTATGATTTTTCACTACTATGAGTTATTTGGCAAAGCAAACTATCCTGGTTTCATGAATGTAGTCAGATGTAAGAGTTCCAAACGTAAAACCAGAAGTTATTTTTATTATCTTTTCTTTACTTTGCAAACATTTTTCTTATATAAGTACTATCCATCGACACTGAAAATGCCATTTGAAATCTTTAGAGAAGGATGATTTCTTTTCAGCAGCATCTTATATGACAGACGCAAAGGATGAATTAGCATTTATGAACACTAAACTTCACTTGATATCCTCATAGCCCCATCAAGAATCAACCTGTATAATAATAAACAAATGTACTGCCTTCTGTTAGCATACACATGGGAGCAAGTTGCTTGGTTAGTGAAGCTATAGCTTTCTGCTTTGTAGGGAAAACAAACAGGATTAAAAAAAAAAACAGAGTATTCTTTTAAAAACCAGCTCATATTTCATCAGGTTCCCTGGAGTAATCCTGGGGGTCTCATTTTACTTATTTCGAAGGATACGCTGTAGGCAATGTAGTAATAAGTGGGAAAAGAGAATTGTGTGAAAAAGCACCAAGGAAACCCAGCAAGATACTGAAGACCATTTTAAGAGGCGGAGGGCACACCCTCTGTGTGGAAAGCGGTGGTGTGTAAAATGCTGCTCGGTATTTTCAGTATTTCCAGCATTATCTCGGTAATGCTGCTGAGATTGGCTGGGTGGTAGTGCTTAAAGCTGAGGACTTCAGTACTGATGCATAAGACCGGTCCTTTAAAACAAATGGTAAAGCCCAGGCGATGTGATGGGGGTTTGAAAGTCAGGGAAGCTGCAGAGAGGTGCAGAAGCAGCAGCACACCTGGATGAGGTCTGCACAAGTGCTGACCCGGTAAGCGACCCCCTTTGTGCGCTCCGTGTGGCAATTTGCTGTCCCAAGGATCACAGCTGGGAAAAGCACAAATCTGACCGAATCGCCACTGACCCAAAGATGTGAAAGCCTTTTGGAACTTCGCTTTGCAAGAGGACAAACTGGTGGAGTTAAAAAATAATAATAATAATAAATCGGCATTCTGTTTGTGCAGAAAGCCTCAAGGTGCCAGCCCCAAAACATCGCTGTTGTTAACCCCGCCTGGCCATAGGCTGAACATCCAGGACAAAAGGAAGACAAAGTCTCCAAACACCATCTGCAGGGAAGCACAAGCTTTACGTAGCACTGCCTGCAGCAGACACCATGGGGTCTGCCTGGCACCATTATCATGACTGCACAACTCCTACCTGCACTTGGTCTCCAAAAAAAAACAGAACTGCTGCAGGTGTCCCTTCTGCTGCAAAAGCACCTGGGAGGCTGATCTCATGCTCAAGACAAAAGATGTCCAGCCCCCACGCAGGAGCAGCAGTTTATCATGTTGGCATACCCCCTGCTACAGGTCCCGAGGCGTCAGAGCTCCTTGCCCAGGAAAGCAGCATTTGCCATCCTGTTTTACACAGGGAAACCCAGCAAAGGGGGGAAAAGGAATTGCCTGAGGCTGTCCGGCAAGCTAATGGCCAGGAAGCAAGTTAATGGGATGCTGGGTTAATTGCCAGCATTTATTCACCTTTCCTGGGGAGAAGGGGTCTGCTGGACACGGGTTAAGCACAGCGTGAAGCTGTGAGTTTCCACCACCCTCATTTAGAGTTAATCACAGTAAGCCTCTTGCCCCATCAGAGAAATCATGTCTGGTTCAAAGACACTTCCAGCCATTTGGGTAGGATTCTCGGGCTTATTGGAGGAAGAGCAAAGCCAGGACAAGCGGCTGCCCTCGTGTAGCAGCTTTTGTAACACATGGTGGATGATTCGGGGATATGCACCAGCCTGCCAAAGAGAAGCTGGCAGGTCTTCCCCCACGATTAGCACGGATCTGATTTTGTTAATCAAGCTAGAGCAAATTTAACAGACTCGGTGCAGATACAGCGTGGCTTTTTAAACGCTTCCTGTATTAGGTGTTAGCAAATGCTGATCAGCTCTTTAAAAGCTCTTCTTTACCAGAAGGTTTGGGCTGCTCTGGTGACAACACAGTGCTCCCCTGGGCAAGTCTCAGCACAACATAGGAAACATGGGAACAAATTAAGCAATCAGTGCAGTCTTGTACCATGTAGAAATAATTCTTGTCCAGCATTTCTGCCTGCATTACTACAGCCTCAGTGGCAGTGAAGATGATTAACAATACTATACAACAATACTACACAAGAACTCAAACAGTATCTAGCGATTAATAACTATTTTAAAAAAATAAATATTTATTTTTCTTTGATGCTGCAGTAGCACCTAGAGGACAGTTGCTGATTATCACTGTACGTGCTGCTGCGTATCAGCAAAAAATGATAATTTTTCTCTGCTTGTTACTTTGAGACCTCCAGATGAGCAGTCTTAGGGGAGAACTCTGCATGCTGTTTCTCTGGAGCATTTTGGCACTGTAAAAAAGCGGCGAGAGCACATGGACCAGGAGAGAAGCACCCGGCTCACCTTTACCCTTGCAAGCACTGCCCATCCTGTCGCTGGGAGCCCCGACAGAGGCATTACAGAGGCAGAGCACCCCCAGTTCAGAGGCCACTGATTTCAACTCAAATCCACTGGCCCTGGCTGAGTTCATTTCCCACCGCTCCAGCCCCGCTATTCATATTTTACCATAGGCTTTACACAGGAAGGACTCCGTGGATTTCAAATGTTAAAATTTATTTCTGAATTTATAGTAGTAATTTAAAATATCCAGTTGGAGATAACTGCAACATCCTCTTAGCCTATTAACTTTTATTTCTGGAGCTCCTGGGGCTTCTTCAAAGTAATTAGCAGAACTATGGCAACTGAGCAGATTATTTTATGTGCTGGGCACACAGCATTTATATCACTCTCATGCTTCTATTTCCATAGGAGGAAAGGAGGGAAAGTTTATTGTGGAAATGGTGAAAGATTCATCATTTAGGAATTAAAATGCATGGACTACTGGACACCTGCTCGAGCACAACTGGCTCAAAGCTGCAGGTTTTCTAAACCTCTTCTACCCTACTGCACAGCCCTTTTAAGCAGCGAAAATCCAGAAGATCCCTCTTGCAACTGCAGCCTGAACAATTATTGCAGCCCAGGCTGTGTGCGTGAGAAACACTCTCTCCCACAAGGTTCTTCAGTAAAAACAAGAGGACTGGGGGGAAAAGACCTGTGAGCCAGAAAGAGCCAGAAAGAAGCTACAAAACCTGGGAGGGCCTTCAGCAGCAGCATCTGTCTGGAGACTGTTATTCCTTTCCCTGGCGGTGCCCTGCTGGAGATCGTATTGGACTCTGAAGGCTCAGCTGGTGGTCTGCTGGAAAAGCAGTGAACAAAGACAGGCTTTCAAACAGCAGAGACTGTCCTGAAAAGCAGCACTTACAGAAAATTCGGGAACTCTCCAGCTGTGTAGAAAGCAGTATCAGTACCTTATCTTATGCAGACAAAGGGTGTCCCATTTCACAGTCAGAAACAGCAGGCTGCAACTGCAAATACTAGCAAAGCACTGAGCTGGCCCTCACAACAGCAAGCTCCCATGCAGCTTGTCAGCTCCTGCCTGGAGCTGTGAACAACCTGACCTAGTGGGAGGTGTCCCTGCCTGCGGCAGGGTGCTTGGAACTAGATGGTCTTTAAGGTCCCTTCCACCCCAAACCATTCCGATAACAAAATACGAGGATATTTCTTTACCCTAGAACCTGCCCAGAGCATCTGGGCATGCTCTGAAACCAATAGAGCAATCATCCGAGGTGCCATTGTCTGATACCTTCCTCACCCTTATGAGATTTTGGGAGAGCCCATGCTGCTCGTGGGAGCAGGACTGGGCCATTTCAGGGAGCGCTGCTCCCAGCAGGTACACTTGCTGCCTTTGATCCAACATGGCAAGAAAGCCATGTGGAGAGGCAAACCCACAAGGCAAGCCCTTTGGTGCTAACCTCAGGATTGCCACACTGTGCTCGTTTCAGATCCCGGGGAGACATGTCCTGCATTCACAGCTCTCAGCTTCAGCAACGCTTTGATAGGGACCGACCTGAAAGTGAAGCTCATGCTGTACACCAGGCAAAACCCAGACTGTGCCGAAGAGCTCAATTCTACAGCCTCCAAGTATCTAGATCTGACCAAGAAAACCACCTTCATTATCCACGGGTACCGGCCCACAGGCTCTGCCCCGGTCTGGATCCCTGGCTTGGTACAGCTCCTGCTTTCTGTGGAAGCCATGAACATCATCGTAGTGGACTGGAACCGGGGGGCAACGACCATCATCTACAGCACGGCTTCCAGAAACAGCAAGAAAGTTGCTGAGATTCTGAAGAAACTTATTGATGAAATGTTGGTAAGTTGAACGTTCACACTATGATATAGTTGTTAATATGTAAAGGGCACAAAGGAAGTGTTTAAAAACAGCAGCGTGTCTGGGAAAAGAACCTCCTAAAAAGGAATGCATTCATTTTTTGGAAGTGTAGCTACACGGCAGTGCCAAATTCTGCACTTGGACTCGGTACGATGGCATTTCGCTGCAGTATTCAATTCACACTCCAAGTCCCTACATTGCTGGATACAAAACCCCACAGATCTGTTTTCCTGTCCATACAAACTCTATTCCCACCTTCTGGATGTCCAAAGTCAGCGCACAGGGATCAGCTACAGCTTGCAGCTCCTGCAAGGCGCTGCGCAGGCACAGGCAGCTATGACAGCGGGCCTTTAGGATCTTTCTACCTGCTGGCACCTTCCAGGAACAACATGAGGGCAACTGGAGTTGTATTCAGGGGGTCCACAAATAATTGTTCCTGTCCAGCCTCAGTCACAGCCTCAGGAAGATACAACCATTGCCTGCGCTGCTCTCTTCACAGCTCCCACAGCGGCCCCACATACAAGTGTTGGTTGCACTTTGGGGCTATCAAAAGGGAGAATATTTGCATGGAGTGGGACACACCACTGGAAAAGCAGGGAGATGTGTTTGCTTTCCCCCTCCTGAGGTTTTTAAGCCTTTAACATGCCCAACACCCGTGACTGTGGGTATTCTTAAATCCCAGCTTGCCGGAGCATCACTCGACTCCATTCACATGGTGGGAGTAAGCCTGGGAGCACACATCGCCGGCTTCGTGGGACAGATGTTTGACGGTAAACTCGGCAGAATCACAGGTGAGCCTTGCCCTGGCAGCCCTTCGCTCTGGGGAGAGCTGCTCGCCGCGAGCCCAGCATTGAGGTGACACCGTGGTGGTTTTTCGCTGCAGGCCTTGACCCAGCAGGCCCCCTGTACAGAGGGCAGCCCCCCGGCGAGAGGCTGGACCCCACTGACGCACAGTTCGTCGATGTTATCCACTCAGACACCGACGGTAAGCGACACCTCTCCTCACTGCTGCAGGGAAACCCAGAGAGCAGGGCCTGCAGCAGGCGGCTCTGCCAGGGTGATCCCTGCCCCATTAGCCCATCCCTCCCAGTGCAGGGGTGCTGGGAAGGTCTCTGCAGTCCCGTGCTGCCCATGCTGTGCTTGGCACACCCTCGGGAGCTGCCCTTTTACTTGCAGTTCAAGGCATGCTGCTGTTTCACAGCAGGTATGGCCTCACGGCCCACGAAGCGCAAGGACCTGAGCACCAGTGCAGGAGGGTGCATCCCCCAGGCCAAATACAGCATCTCCCTCAGCCCTCTCCTTCCCCAGCCTTTCCCACAAAAAGGCATCTTAGAGCTGAAACACTATTATTTTTTTTTCCAGTTAGTTCCTCATGTTTCCTTCTTCTGTGCTCTATGATTTAATATTCCCTCCCCTGATGCTTTCTTTGTTCAGGACTCGGCTACGCGGACACCCTGGGCCACATAGACTTCTACCCCAATGGTGGCACCGACCAGCCCGGCTGTCCGCTGACAATATTTTCTGGTAACTAATTCTGCCTGGAATTGCACACACACTGACAAAATGTTTCCAATCAGGAAGGAGGAGAAGGCCACAGAAACATCATCAGTGCTAGAAAATAAGCGAAAACCATTTTCTGGGAAAGCCATGAAAGCAATCTCCTCCCGGCACTGCTGCAGCATACTAATGTAACGGGGGCTTAGCTGACACACACCAGGCAGGCGTATCGGTCAGGGGTGTCACGAATGCAGGTGGGATCAATTTTCCATGCAAAAACATATCAGGTGAATTTGTGCCCTCGTTTTGTAACTATGTTTAGAAAAGAGAGAGGTTTTTTTATTATCTAATCACTTAAAATACACACAAAACCCCAAGGACTAGCTAGCAATGACAAGAACTGTTCAGAAACCAGGTTCAAGAGGAGCACAGCACAGACTGCGAGACTGAATCCAGGGAGCTTTCCTTGGCAGCCTGGCAGGTAGAGCCCTAGCCTTGAACACAAGGAAGCTTTTTTTCCTCCCCAGCTCAGCAGCAGAACGGGTTTTGACAATGCTGGGTGACAAAATGGCAAGGTCTTGTGCAAAAGAAATGCAATACCCGCCTGTTGTGTCAGCTCAGAGGGAAGAGGAGAACACCTGAGATGGGGCAGGCTCTGTAGCTGGCTCCTCTGGAACTGCAGTGGCAGCACCAGCAGATATGTTGTTAAAAAATAAAAATAAATAAATAAAAACAGACAAGAAGGAAAGGAGACATTGACAGAACTGAGTGCACTCAAAGAGAAGCTGGTGCCCACTCACTGCTCTGCCACTGCCCAGTGCTTCCCAGTTCAACCTGCTGCATTCAGACTGGTCGGTGACTGTCTGCTGGCGTGTCCTTTTTTCTAGTGCCTTAATGCTGATTTCCTGAAGCACAAGGACCCGTAATGAAATATTTCTTCTCTGTATGATTAAGGAATGCAGTATTTTAAATGCGACCACCAGAGGTCTGTTTTCCTGTTCATGTCATCCCTGAAAAAGAGCTGCAATATTACGGCATACCCGTGTGACTCGTACAGAAGCTACAGGAATGGCAAATGCACCAGCTGTGAAATTTTTCAGCCTATGCCATGCCCCATCCTAGGTAAGGATCCGGGGAATGTAAATATGTCGGGGCTACACATGCCTGACAGAGCTGCCTAGCCTTACTCTAACTTTTACTCCAGCTGTGTGAGTGGAACAAATGTTTTGCTAAAGGACTAACAGAACGTAGGGTGCTTTGTAAGCGCATGTGCATTCTGCTCGTTTTGGGGGGTGATCCCTCTGTGACTGCTGCAGAGGGGCAAGCCTCTGCTGCAAGCAAGAGGCTGAAGAGACTTCTCTGCACTTTGTACAAACACATCATGTTATGATCTACAACAGAAATCCACGTGCACAGGATCCAGAACTAGAAAAGCCAAAACAACTCTTGGGATCTTTACAGAAGAGTCACAGCAGCAATGAATTAAAGCCCATTAGCTGCAGTTTGAGGGGCAGGGGCATGCTCTTGCTAAAATATACTCTTTTCTAAGAAACTTTCAGCACCCCAAAGCCCTCTTGACCACCACAGGAATGGCAGGGAGGGGTGAACAAAGGGTATTCCGCTTTTCTGTAAGCACCCCCCCAGCCTGGAGGCAACAGCCCAGCTTCAGGCTGCCATTTCTGCAATTTTGATGCTAAAAAAACCTGACGCTTCCAGAAATTACCTTGCAAAGCTGGGGGGTTATTTTCATTCCGTGCTGTAAGACCTTTCTAGACCAAGGATATCCGATGTGAAAAAAGACTGATCTGAAAATAGGTGCCAAACAGTAACCAGGTATATTTTGACCCACAGTTGGTTTTAGTTACAGAAGTAAAATTAAAACCTCAAGTGAGTCTATGGAGCATAGGAGCATGCATCACAGTGCTACCTTGCAGCTGAACCGTGATACAGTATTTCTTAAACATTTGCCTTGTTATTTTCAGCAATTTAATTGCCTATATACCCGTGCTGTAACCTTGTTTCATTTTTAAACTGTCGTCTATAGGCTATTATGCCCACAAGTGGAAAAGCTATTTAACACAACAGAGCCATCCAGTGACAAACATGTTTTTTGATACAGCGGACAAAGAGCCATTTTGTAGTAAGTGACTAAGATTTCTGAAATGATTTTTCTTTGTGTATTGCCTCCTTCAGCAGCAGCCGAGCAGAGATGGTTGGTTGCTATCAGCATTGTACCCGGCACTTCAGAAACAAAGCCAGTGCTGCAGGATAGAGTTGTGTCCACCTGCAGTCCTGCCATTATATTCCCTAACTGCAAACATACTTGGTACTGTGAAACACGACAGCTCGCTAGCTAGAGAGGTGCCAGAGCAGGCTCGTCTTGCTTACAGGGCTAGGAAATTTGTTGGGAACGTGTGAACAAAGCTTTAAAGTGTGGTTGTTTCAAAACAGCCTGACGCTCTTTCATGCTTGCATGATAAGAGGTGTGTGTGGGAATGGTGAGAGGTAAAGACATGCTCCCAGCTAAACCAGCAAATTGAGCTGCCCTGGGCAAAAGGGATGGGCAGAGGGAAAGGGCAAGGGGGAATCAGTGAAAATCAGGGTTTCTTCTCACCCATGATGATCACCAGCACACAAACCTGTGGGCAGGGACGTCAGCAAGCAAACTCGCATGAGTTACAGATCAGAGTCAAGAACAGACAATTCTGCCCCATGGCAAAGGGATCCAAAGAAGGGACAAAGAAGACAAATGAAGGATGCTGAGAACAGAAACAGAGGGGATCATGCTCTATCAGGGAGACAGGGACAAAAGAAAGAAAATGCAATTTGCAAATGGACTCGGAAGGCGGGGAGTGAGAGGCAGTGTGATGAAAGCCGTGCCATCGGTGTAAGCCTAGCTCTAGTGCCTCTCCTGGGGCTTTCCCACACCCATATCCACCCACACCACATCCCATGGCTCCGAGCATTTGTTACATATCCCCAAAGGATGAAGGCAAGCCGGGAGGAGAAAGGTCCTAGAGCAGAATGGGACAGGCTGTGTTGGATGAGCATGGCGTGGGGCAGTCTAACTGCGTGCTCTCTGTCTCGCCTCGCAGTTTACCACTACTTTGTGGACATCGTTACATGGAACAAAGACACCAGGAGAGGCACCTTCAGCGTGGTATTAGCTGATGACGCTGGGCAGAAGGCAGAATCTAAAGTTAATCCGTAAGTCTCCCTGATCTGATGTTCCACAAATGTTAGCAAACGACTCGGCACAACTGGACCTGGGAGGAAGCAAGACATCCTCCTCTTTTTTTTTTGCTGATGCTCAACAGCACACAGGCCTTGGGCCTTGCCTGGCCCAAGGTGATTTCCACAGGCTCCCCAGTGCACACCACCGCCAGCCTGGCCCTTTGGTTTGGGCCCTCTGTAGTCAACCTGAGGATGGCCATGAGCTATCTCAGCAATCCCATGGCTGTCCTGGTCTTCCACAAGAGCAGGAGGAAAAACATCTCCTCTCCAGGGAGAGCTCCGCATTTCAGCTCTGGGTGCCCAGGACAGCGGGGATCAGATCGCTGTATCCCTAAGTAACTGAGTACAAAAGTGGCTGAGCAGGTTGAAAGCTAGAGACCTGAACATGTTCCCACTTCCTGAAAGCCTGAAACCAGTCATAAGCTCAGTCCTCCTCCCCCAGCACTGTGTCTAATATTACACTGTAAGTATTAAAACTGTGCTATTCCCCTGGTGACTCCCTGACACCTCGTCCACTTTGTCTTTAGAGAAGCTGCAGCCTTTCAGCAGTACAACCAGATCAGTTTGCTAATTGGATTTGACCAGGATTTTGAGAATGTAAAAAGAATTTCCTTGACATTTTCCACGGGATCTGTCATCGGCCCGAAATACAAACTCAGGATTCTCCAAATGAGGTTCCGGTCACTTACAAACCCAGAAAGGTAAGCACTGCTTTACAAACCATTCCTGATGCAAACTGGGCACAAGGCAATGAATCTCACAGATTCTTGGCCTGGCAAGTTCATCTGGAAGAATTTCATTTACTTCACATTTAATAATTCTTGTGCACATATCTTGGGAATAAATTCTGCCTTGCACACATGCACGCAACTCCCTGAACACCTACCTGACCACAGAGGTTATCTCACTGCATTGAAAACACAACGCACGGTCTGATCTCAACGTGGTCTGACATTTTCACCTTTGGTCAGGATCACGACCTTTGTGTAGCTACAGAGAAGCTGCCCAGGCCTGAACTCAGGACTGAAATCAATTGTGACTCTCGGGGAAACACAGATATGCAGTCTCAAATACACATCTTATATCACAGTCAATTTCTATGTCCAGTCAAGTAGGAAGATTCATTTATTCCTGCAGCCCCAGTGACTGGGAGCTGCTGACCATCATGCCCCAGAGCACTTATCTCGTTAACCTCCACCTGCTCTGCAGTCAAAGCGAAGCCCTTAAACTCCCCTCATTTTTAGGGCACCTTTGAGGGAGGCAATCTGCCTGAGTCCACCAAGCACAGAATCCCTCCGGCTGAGCCTGCGGTACGAGGACAGTGTGTGAACATCAGGCCATAGATGCTTTAAACTTGGTTTAAAATAAGGGTCGTGTATCGCAGAGGGAAAAGGGTGTAGCAAAAGAGACAGAGGCAGGCGGAGGTGGGCAGGACACCCCGTGTGGCGGCTGCCCCTGAACCCAGGCAGCCGATCCTGCAGTACCAGCTGGTGCGGTGGGTTCTTTATTCACACAAAGCAAAGCAAAGGAGAACGCACAGCAAAATGAAAATATATTCAAGGTACCCCTGACCTCTGTAACCTTTGCACTGCCCCTTGGTGGAGGAGCCTTCCCGCTGCCTTGCTGACGTGACCTACCTCATGTACATCAGCACACAGCGGGAGGCTCGGCTGGGGGAACGGCAGGGAAAGGGCGGCTTTGTCACTTCTTGCTGTCCTCCCGCAGACCGCAGCTGTGCCGCTACGACCTCGTCCTGCCGGAGAACACCAGGAAAACCTTCCGGCCCGTGCCGTGCCCCGCCAGGCGCTGAGACCCGACGGCGATGGCAGGCAGCCCGCCCCCACGGCCACCCGGGGACCTCGGGGGGGACCAAAGAAGGGCGCGACTCGCGTGTTTGGTGCCAATACAAACGTTTATTGCCCATCCCGGAGCAAGGTGAAGCGCTGACATGCACCCTCCGTGCAGGCGGCGGCGCCCCAGCAGCCTTTAACCCAGGGCCCGCCCGGCTCCCTCCCCTCAGCGCCGCCCCGGGGCCCGGCGCCTGCGTGCGGGGCCGTGAGGGGCCGGTCCCGGCGGCGTCCCGGGGCTGTCCCCGGGCCGGCAGCGGGATGTGGCGGCGTTTGGCCGCGCTGCTCCTCGTCTTCGCGGCCTCCACGGCCGCGCTGTGGCTGCTGTCGGCGCGGCTGAGCGCGGGGAGCGCCCGCAGGTGGGTGCCGGGGGCCGGGCTGCGGGGCTGCGGGCTCGGCTGTGCCTTGCTCTACCCCATGCTCTGCCCCATGCTGTTCCCCCCCAGGCCGCTGCGGTTCCCGTCGGACCTGGAGGAGCTGCGGGAGCTGGCCGAGGCGCTGCGGGACTACGAGCGGGAGCACCGCGGCGCGGCGCTGGCGCTGTTCTGCGCCGCCTACCTCTACAAGCAGAGCTTCGCCATCCCCGGCTCCAGCCTCCTGGTAGGGCGCCGGCGCCTCCCCTGAGCCCCCGGGGGAGGAATTTGGGGGAATTTGGGTCTCGGCCGCCTTCACCCCAAGCCGTGTCCCCGCAGAACGTGCTGGCCGGGGCGCTTTTCGGGCCGTGGACCGGGCTGGTGCTGTGCTCTGCCCTGACCTCGCTGGGAGCCACCTGCTGCTACCTCCTGTCCGGCGCCTTCGGGAAGCGCTTTGTCGTCTACTGCTTCCCCGACAAAGTGGCCCTGCTGCAAGGGAAGGTGAGCGGCCAGTGCCGCAGGAGGCCTCTCCGCTCGGGGCTGCTTTTGGGGCAGCTCGGTACAGAGCCGAGCATGCAAGGGGGGCCTGGGGTCAGGCAGGGGCCTCGGCAGTGTAAGCGAGGCTGTGCCCTTGGGATCAGGCCCATCTGCAGAGGGGATCTGTGGAAAAGGCCAGCTCCCGAGGAAAATCTGATGTAAAACAAGAGGCCAATGGGCAAGGCCCTGTGTTTCAGAACTGCCTCACGACCCTGTGCTCTGTCCCACAGCCAGGGGAGGTTCTGCTGGCGTCTGCCTGATCTCTCGTTCAGGTTAGATCCTGTTTTCACCTTTTGTGTGGAAGGGGTTGGCTCACCACTGGGATCCCAGACACACGTGTATGTCCCAGGCATACGTGAAGTTGCCACTTTTCATCAGTTCCACACCGATGTTCTGTTGTGGAATGGTGGAGGAGAAAAAAAAAAAAGAAAACTTACATCAGTGGTGTGGTAACTCAGATGTTACTGCTCAGTAACAGAACTAACTTGGAGCGTTTCTCTTGACAGGTAGAAGAGAACAGGAGCTGCTTGTTCTTCTTCCTGTTGTTCCTGAGGCTGTTCCCCATGACACCAAACTGGTTTCTGAATCTCTCGGCCCCCATCTTAAACATCCCTGTGTCCCAGTTCTTCTTCTCCGTTCTCATCGGTAAGGTCAGGGGAGCCCAAGGGGACAGCGTGACGCTGCCTCCCTCCTCGTCACTGAGCCCTGGGAAGCAACCAAGGGCTGGGGAAGGTGGAGCAGCAGGGTCGTGGCTGTGACTCTGTCCCATTTACCTGGTTGCCTGTTACTGAGACCCATCCGGCCTTGGGCAAGGATGTGACTGGAGCTAAGTTTGCACTCTTCCGTGGAGGCAAGGGGGATGCTAACTGGCTTATTTGCTCTGCCTCTTCCAGGTCTTACACCCTATAACTTCATCTGCGTACAGACAGGAGCCATTCTGTCACAAATCAACTCTCTGGATGCCATTTTCTCCTGGGACACACTGCTCAAACTGCTTGCGATGGCTGTGGCAGCACTGATACCAGGGACCCTTATCAAGAAATACAGCAAGAAGCACTTGAAGCTGGATGAAGACCAGCATGCTCCGTTACTCAATGGCAAGAAGAGCATGTGATGGCTCAGGCCCCAGCTGTTGGGGAACTGTCTCTCAAAAGCTGTGGGTCTTTGCCCGTGTGGGTCATATTCTGCATGCTCTGTGCCCATGTGGACCAAGGACAATTGCAGTTTTTACTGTTCTTCTCATCTAAGAGGAGGTATAATCTTGTTTTTAATCAGTGTTTTACTGTGCATGTATCTGCACTGAAAATTCTCTATAATGAAACTCTGTGAACACTTGAGGTAAATTGCCTGGGTCCTTTAAGTCAGGCTGTGTCTGCAGCGTGCTGAGGGTGTTGCCAGCCTCTTGCAAAGGTGTTGGTGAAGGGGGTGTGAGGGGGTGGAAAGGGGGAGTTTTAGCATCCCTGGAGGAAGGCCAGCAGTCCCTGCTCGCCCTTGAACACGGAGGCTAAGCACCTCACTCCTGTGGCCTCCCTGCCAGCCCGAGTCACAGGCTGCCCCTGGGCTCCTGTGCTTCCCACCACGTCCAGCTCTGGCTGCAGCTTTGCCCTTGGTGCAGCGGGCACGACTGATGGGGCAGAGAGCTGCTGCCCACAGCAGTGTTTCTGCCCAGCCTCAGCCCTCCTTGGCTGGAGGTAACTACAAGGCCTCAGCACACAGCTTCATTGAGCTGCAACAGCAGAAGCCTTGGCTGTTTTTCAGTGCTGTTCTAACAGCAGCAGTTCCCAGCTTGGGCTGCGTTCCTTCCTACCCCAGCCCTCTCCCCACCCGTACCTATTCAGTAGATTTGTCATAAAATGAAAACAGCACTTCATGTGCTGTGAGGTGCAGAGGTACAAGTAGCAAGTCGAGAAAAATAATGTTGTGGGGTCAGTGGTTTGTCCCAGCACCTCCAGCAGGAGAGTCTTCATCCATGCAGAACTCTTCCTGTCACTCAGATGGTAAGTGCATGCTGCAGGGAAAACATTTTCACCTTTGGTCAGGTCACCTTTTGTCCCCAGGTTTTGGGGACAGTTAGAAGTTGTCTGGATGTGTCGGGCCTGTCAGCTGCTCCTCACCCCCAGAAGCAGCCAGGATTGGACTGGGTTGGGACAGCAAAGGGCAAAGTTCCCAGGATTCAGCTGCCCAGCTGACAGCAAAATCCCTTGACACAAGCAAAGGCCAACATTCAAGGACACCTGGGTGATCAAAGATGATGTGTGCATCCCACCAAGCTTCTGCCCTGGGACTTGGAACTCCCCCTAGTCCCAGTGGTGACAGGTAACTTAAAAACACTGCTTGCTAATACCTTGTTGTCAGACTTCATGACTCCCCCAACGTACATCACAAACCCTTCCCAGATCACCAGACCAGCCTGAGAAGCATTGAAGTACACTGGCTTTTTATTCCATGCATTGTTTGCTTTGATAGTCATTCTTGTTTCCATCACTGTACACTGTTCAATACAAAAAAATCAAGTTTGTATCAGGAATCCGCAGAGCAGGGAGGAGAGAGATGAACACTACTGGACAGGGCCAAGATGAAATGGTTACTTAACACGACAGTGGGGAAGGCAACATTCAGCTCTGGGAGAAAATCTAGGCTAGCGTTCAGGAGCTGTCAGCAGCCACGAGAACTGCATCAGGGAAGTCAGGATGCTGAGAAGGGAACCCACCGTTTACTTCTGTCCTGCCAACGAGGCGTTACTGCGAGGAGGAAGCGGGCAGCTCTGCGCATCCCAGCCCCGTATCCTGCCAGGAGAGAAAGTGCAAGGAACCGCAGCAGCGGGACCCATGCAGCAACACGCCTGCAGAGCTGGGCAAGTTGCACAGAGCAGTGCCCGCACAGCCCTCGGCAGAACCGCTGCCCACACGCAGCCGAGAGCACGAGGTGTGCGCAGGGGAAGGCCGGGGGTCATGTTTACTGCAGACCCAAGTGTGGCTGAACCCCAGAAGGGTTCAGCTCCGCTTCTCCAGGCATGTCCCAGGGCAAGGATGGGGAGGAATGGGGACATGTCCAGGACAGCTGGCCAGAAGGGGCCTGAAATCCCCTGTGCCAAGGCCTCTCTGCACCTCCGCACACCCAGCAGAGCTCGGAGCAGAGAGCGCATCCCACCGCGGAGCTCTGAGCAGAGTGCAGCTACCAAAAGCCCTGCAGCATCGTTTTGGTAGGGACTGAGTTACCACAGACTGAAGTCCCTGCGCTGAGGATTTGATCGGAGCCTGCCAAATCCCAGCGACAGGCAAACTGGGCTGGGGCGGAGAGCTGATGGTGTAGAGGGGAGGGTAGTTCTCAGCCTCTCCTTATGGAATAGCTGGATCTCCGTGTGCATGTGTTACGTGCACAATCCCACACCGCTAAACTCCCGGCTCAGCTGGCTGAGTCACCACCCGCAGCGCCTCTCCCACACCACAACAGCAAAGCCACCTCTGGCCTGGCCGCCTCCTCGTGCTGCTGGCCAAGAGGACATCTGGGTGGAAGAAGGAGTGATGGGGAGAGGAAGCCAGAAACAAACCAGAGAAGTTTCACTCCCCTCCACCTTCTGCCTCTGCCCTGAGCAGAGTATTGCTGCAGCAGGAAGGGGAGAGCTGCTCGCTCCCTGTTCGCTTCAGCTGCCTTTTGGTCCCACACAGGGATGCTCTGCTGGCCACCCTGATCCTGCCCCCACTGCCCGCAGCAATCGCCCTCCTCTCTGCCTGTCCTTCTGGGCGCTCCTGCCAGAGGCTCTCACGGGGGCCGGTTACTTTGCCATCAGTACAGAAGCCCCCCGGTCCCTGATCACCATTCCCCACCAGCTCAGGGACCACCAACGCGAGCAAATCGCAGCAGCACCGTGAGGAATATCACAGGGCCCGCGGGGCTGCCTGCACCCATCCCTCTCGGCCCAGCCCCAGCATCCGTGGCAATCACAGGAGGCAGCAACTACTGACAGCCGCTGAGACCAGCTCTGCTCCCATCTCCCGCCGTGACCGGGGAGAAGGCAACGTCACACAAACAGATTACAATTGTGCTAGCAGTGAAGCCAACCTTCTGATCTACAGAAATGATAATAAATAACAAAATAACATCATAACTTAAGATCTGTGTGTAGTCCAGCTACGAAAATTTAAAAATATGGGATAATTTAACTCATACAATACTGCTCTCTGTATAAGACATTTTCCTTCATTTTGCCATGAGGCTATAAATTACCACAGTTAAATGCAAACCAATATTTTAACATAAAATGTAAACAAACAAAGCAACAGAAGTACCTGTCCATGGTCCATTCCTGCCGTTCACCTCAGGCTGGTGTGCCAGGCTGCAGGGCAGCACCCAGCAGCGTGGCACGGCCGTGGCAGCCGGCACGCTACGAAGGGCAGAGTGAAAGCTCTTGCAAGGGGGGCATCAACTAAGGGGTAGGGGGGACGGGGGAGGACGTGCTCTACCATTTTGTTCTCTTTAAATATTGATTTAGAAGAGTAGTGTTTGAAGGGAAGGCACTATGAGTTCTAATCAGAAAACAAATTCTCTCATCTGCCAATGCCTCGGCCTGTCACATACCAGTACTATCCTCACTTTCACCTGTCGAGTTTCAGCTTGAAGGAGAAACAGAGGCCTCGGGGTACGCCCGAGACACAGCTGTGCCACAGCCACCCTCGAGGTTCCCCGTGCAACCTGTTTTGCACAAGCCTGACATGAAGGGCAGGCAGCTGTTAATGCTTTCAGGAACGTACAGTGAGGAAGGAGATGGAGCAGGGCTGATGCTCCTATCTAGGCCAGCGACTCCTGGTCTTCCCCCTCGACACACAGCTCTCTGCTGGTTATCGATGCTGTTGTAGGTGAGAGACTGCTTCTCCAAGTCCAGTACAGGCATCTCCAGTTTCCTCCCCAGAAGAGTGCTCGGGCTCTGCAGAATGTGCTTTCCACGGTTTGCAAGTTCTTGCTTTTCCAACACTGATTTGATTGATTTCTTTAACTGACTGAAACAGACAGGAGGTAAGAGGAGGAAGTAAACTGGGAAATGGCACACTGCGTCTGAAAGAGGCTTCCCTGCTCAACTGGAGATCGACACTGCCAGAGTGAAGCAAGGATGATGTTAAGAAGTGCTCTTATACCAATTCTTGAGAGGACGAGGTTAGAATACATTTGCAGGATCTCACAACAAAATGTTGATTAAAAAAGAAACTAAAAATCTTTAAAATAAAACCCACTATTACATTCCTGGGGATGTATTGACTCAGAAGACCCTGGATGTTAGCACCTCAGTACCAGTTTTCTCCAGGAACATGTCCACCTTCTGATTAAAAAATGACCCAGCTGGTTATACTGAATTCGCTTTGTTCACAGGTTACCTTATAGTAAGGTCTTTTTATGCTTCCTCATTTGATAAGACTGAGTGGTTTAGTTTTCTTGATCTGTTCTCCAATCTTCAGGGCCACACGGCCTGGTCCCCTGTGAAAGCAGCAAGAGAATCCCCCCGCATTTGTACACAAAGCTGTCCAGGCAGGACTCCCAGGATGTTTCTCTGTAATGTGCTTGCTTTCTGAACTTTTTTTTTTTTGCAACGAGTCTGTGTGTCTATAAATACAATCCACTCTTTACAGTAAAAAGTGTTAAAATGTCAAAAAAATAAATATCCATGTTACAGTAACTAGATTATTCAATAAAATACATCCCTGCCATTCTTGATTGAAATGCTCAAAGAGAATTAATTTCATTTGGACATTTTCCAGAGATTCGGGTTATTGCAAATCACTCCTGGGGTGGGAAGGAGAAGCATCTTCTCTTCCTGTAAAGTGTGATGAAGGGGAATGAAGTGGAATCTCAGGGAAATCAAAATGCCAGTATCAGGAAGCTTTGGGGGAGATCTGAATTACCAAGTAGCAGAGCTGCAGGGCTTATTGGTCCTGACTGTGGCATCAGAACACTCCCCTTCAGAAGAGTCACAGTCTGATTCTCCAAACTGTGCTGGGTTCTGCAAAGCAAAAGGAAAGGGGAATATGTAAGCAACATTCCTACCCTGCAGATCAACCACACCGTCCCAGTCTGCAACAAGAGGCAGGCAAAGGTCACCACCAGCAGAGAAGGACAAATCGACAACACAGAGATGCAAACAGCACACAAGTGCGCTACCAAAGGTCACTTCTCTCCCCCTCAGGGACGGGAAACAGAAAAATATCTTGTCAGAGCACCATCACCACACAGACAGAGGCATGAGCAAATGGTGCAGCAGGCTCTGCCCTTCCCCACCTGAACACTAGAAAGACAGTAAGAGAAAGGAAATTGTTCTGGCTTTGTCAGCTAGGCTGCCAATGGATAAGTTTGAGGCAGACACTTTATATCCCTTGCACTTCTGTTTTATGTCCTATATTTATGTCCTATTTTATGCAACTGCAAATCCGATGGCCTCCCAGTTCTGCACTCATCTTGATCAGCAAATCATGTTCAGCTTTCTGTGTGCCACCTTCAACCCATCTATTCATCGGACCACGTGCAAAAAGACTGGGTATCTAAACCATCCCCTTGACGTAGCACATCTGCTACAACATTTCCTAGGCAGTCATCCAACTTCCTGGCCCTTGGATTCCATTTTTACTTATTTGTTACCCAATAGACAAAGAAGGGACTGCTAAGCTTGCAACTCACCTCACAGCTGTGTTCATCAGCACAAAGTTTGCCCAGAGACATCTGAGTCTTGACTCTCCGCACAGCACACTCTTTGTCTGAAAGCCCATCAGACTGGGTGGAGATTTCAATGGGGATCTCTGGAGTCTGGGACAACATGTCCTCCAGCTTCTCAGCCAGCTCGTCTTCCAGCTTGGTGGCCAGCTCATCCGGGCTGTTCGAATGGTCGCTGGTGTTCCCCTCCTCTCCGTCTGACACAGAAAAGTTCTCCGAGCTGAAGGTTGAGTAAGACTGGCAGCTGCTAATACAGCGGTGAGGTCTGCAAACCAGAAGAGTAGTTCAGCTTCTATCACAGTGCCTCTGACTGCAGAGGAAAAGCAATTTCCCAGGTGCTGTGTTAGGCACCAGAGCCTCCTTCCACCATTAGTGCACATCAGCTGAGTCACAACTGATCTGCAAGGCTGGCAGCAAGGGCTCTGCACAGGCTGCCGTTCACCTTTTGGAGCTATGGAAATCTACCACCTTTTGAATTATTTACTTTAAGATCTGCATCTTTAAATTCATCTGTTCTTTTTGTTTTCATCTCCTACACATTCACATTAGCTGATCTACTTCGGAGCATATTTTTCTGTAACATTCCTTTTCCAAAAATAAATAAATAAATAAAATAAAATAAAAAGCTGTGCTGTAGGGCTCAAGCTAATTCAGTTGGGAATATCTGCACCACCTGGCAGCTGTCCCTACAGCCAGGCTAGAATTTAAGTACTTGCACGTTACTTGAATGTGAAAATCACCTCATGCCAGGATTCAACAGCACCAGTACAAACTATCAGTTGGCTGAACATGCCAAGAGCCCCACAATAGGTCATCACACTGAGTTCAGAGAAGGCAATTTGTCTTCCACGATAGTAAATCACAGAAGAAGCAACAATCACACACACAAGAACCATGTGAGTCAGAAAACTCATCTAGCCCAGCACTCCATCTCCAACCCTCAGCAAGAAAAAACAATCATGGGAAAATACAAGAGCAGGGTGTGCAGAAAGAGCCGGCTTTCTCCTGGCACATCTTCCTGGTTTGTAATCAGACATCTGAGCTGAAGATCAAACCTGGATGACTGTGCGTAACAGCCACTGATGGACCTACTGCCATAAATTTAACACTTAGGATTTGTTTATGTTTTGATTTCTACAGCACTCCTTGGCAATGGACTCCACATGTAACAATGCTTTGAATGCAAAAAAGCACTTTTTATTCATTTTAAACCCACTGTTCACTAGGCATCCCTAACATGAATGTGAGGAATCGTTCCTTGTTTCCTTTCTCCACATAACTCAATTTCATGCACCTCAGTTATAGCTTCTCCTCCTGCTAGACACAGATTTCTCATGGATTTAATCTCTTCTTTTATAGAAACTATCTCTAACTATCCTTGTCGCACCTCTCACTATTTTCTCAAACTCTACCATGGTCTTTGAACCGGGGTAATGAAGGTGGCATTTAGGATTCAAGCTGCAGGTGTGCTGTGAATGAATATAACAGCAGACAAGCTTTTATCTTCTCTGCTCCTTTCTTAACAACCCTTACTTGCTCACTGGATATCTTCTGCACTTCAAGCAGTGGTTTCCATGAAGTTACTGCAACAATTCATGATCTCTTTCCAGAGCAGAAGACTGTAAAGTCTACTATTACAAATCCGTAAGTAGAAACTCCCCTTCAAGCCTCTTATTTTATAGGCAACACCATCAAATTTATCTGCTGTGCTCTCACCTAGCCCTCATATCCTACTTGAATTCAACTGTGAAGGCTCTGGAGTCAGCTTGCTGCAGCAACAGACAAACCAGTTTTTGGAAGAGTCTGCAGAAGGTCCCAACATCTAGGACGTCTGATTCTGGTGAAACAGATTCAGCAGCTTATTTTACAGGCTGAATCGTGTTACCTCTTCCTAAACAAGTGTGATCAAGTTGTGCTGTGAACAGCCTGCAGGAGGAAAGCTATGCTGGAGATAACATCTCAGAACAAGCTGAAAAGAGTGAGTTAATATGAAGGATCACCACGAGCAGATGGGACACCCCGAATGTGATTCTGCTCTTTTGCCAGCAGTTAGAATAATGGTGTGCAGTTGCTATGACAGCTGTCCTGAGATTTGTCCCAGCAATAAGAGATTAGAGTGAATTCACCTTTTACCTTTGTCTACGAGGAAACTCCACTTCACTGTCTACTTCACCCTCTTCCTCTTCTGAGGAGTCATCACCGCTCTGGCAGAAAACAAAGGACAAGAATGACATCACACACCTGTGAAGGAGCAAACACACAACTACATGGCTGCCCCCTGGTCCTCCAGTACAAAGTCACTGGATCAACAGGCTGCAACCAACCAGACAAGAAAAAACAGTGAGAACTCACTCAGCCTTCACCTTACTAGGTTATTTCAGGCAACCGTAATGTTGCCATTTCTGAATTTTGGAGCGATAGACTTCAGAACAGACAGGAACACCTTAGGCACTGAGAACATCATGTTCCGGATTCGCCCCCATCCTCGCTCCCCAAACAGAAGCGAACCAAGTAATCCCCCGAAATCCACAATTCAAATTATTGAGCTGATCTGGCACTCTTAGCTTTACCACTTCAACCTCGTCTGCATGGGCCTATCACAGAGCAGCACTGGGGATGACACATGCTTTGCTGGTGGGTTTCATCAACTAGAAAAATTGAGTTTTCTTCTATTTTCTGCTTCAGTGAGCACAGCCTTTTATTCTTCTCTTCCCATCCAAAATCCCCCTCCGCACTCTGTTTTTTACAGCCTCCTCTTATCCCATCCAGCCTGCCATCCCCCAGTTCAGTCTCTGCTTCTATCCCCTTGTAATATGAGCTTCTCCTCCTTTTATTCTGGGCTCAAAACCACACTCTTGATTCTAGTATTCATCCTCTTTGCCTTCACTTTCCCGCTTAGGCTGTTTTCTTGCTCTTTGAATTCCTCTCAGACCCGCTCCTACTTCTCTTACCACCTGGACGGAAAAAGGAGGAATACAGCAGCACTCTTTCTGTAGCACAGCTGTGCCATAACATCTTTTCAACTCTGGCAGCCCCAGGACAGAGTGTGCTCAGTGCTTAACTGAGCATGTATTTTATAAAACTCTGCTATCCTAAAACCAGGACTTTCAGGCAAGGAGGACAGTTTTTTGCAGGTGCAGCAAAAGGCATGTCTCCAAGACCACAGCAAAGGTCGTATTTCTGTTCCAAGGCACAACAGTGCTACAGATGCTCACTGAAACTGCAGCATGATCTTTAACATCAACAAAAGAATGTGTTCACCCCCTCCTATGTTTTGAGAATGGCTTGATTCCATTTCCAGACTGTTTCAATAGCAAGCACGCAGCAGATCAAGATTCAGCTCTAACAAATACTGGCTGAACTGCAGGAAACAGAATGAGGCATTATCAAAGACATTTTAACAACCCTAATTATTAGCAATACTCTCTGATATGCCTACAGTACTTCTCAATAAAATTGACTTTAAAAGAATGTCCAGATCACAAAGCAAAGTTCATGTAGGCACGACCTCTTCAAGATAAAACTGTACATGTAACTCTACTGCTCTTTTGGTGAAGAAAGGAAAGAGGAGAAAGCCTTGTTTTTTTTCTGAATTGCTGTACTGCCCTTACCTTCTGAATGGGTCTTGCTTTGCACGGTAGCACTGAGGAAGCCATGTGCTGTGGTGTGCCTAGAGCAGACGCTGATGTACCGTTGCTGAAGCCCTCTTCCTCCATCTTCTCAATGTACTGCGCGTTTTCATATAGGGAAACAGACGTTGGTGATTGAGAATGGCTCATTCCTGTTTCAACAGATGACATCTGCACCTGACCACTGTCCTCGTCCCTGCACTGAAGACAGGAATTATATGGATCTGTTTTGCAACACTCCCAATGATCATCTTTGCTTTCTTTGCTCTCCAGATTCCTTCGGCAATCTGCTTCCATGGCAGTGGAGATGAGATCAGGGCTGGAGCCAGACATCCGCCTTTGCGCGTGGTTACTGAGAGGGCTCCGCAGCGCTGCTGCAGGGCCAAAGTACCTTAAGTTGTTTGCGCAGTTGGCAATATCTTGTCCATGGGCGTGAAGCCGTGAGTGATGGCCATGGGGATGGCCGTGGCCATGTTGCTGCGGTAGACCAGGAGGATGAGAATGATTATGAGGTGGAGGTGGGGGTGCATCATCTTGCACTGGCTGGTTTTTCAAGATCCCTGCAAAATCATTGTAGCTGCCTTTGCTGTTCCCTCGGCGGTGACGTGGCTTACTGCGGTAGCGACTTTTGCCACTCAGTGTTGACATTTTGGGACTTCCTGAGACTGGTGAGCCATTAGATGCTGCTTCTGTGCTGGGTATGCCCTCTGACTTCAGTAGATCTGGCCTGAGAGAAAGTCAGCAAACGTTTAACATTAATCCACAAACTAAGAAATGACATCAGCTCAGAATCAGGATGAAGAGGCAACCGTAGCCATAAGCATACTCTGCTTTCTGTAATCTACATGCCTCCCTCCCTTTCAGCTGTTTGACTTCTACCTCTAGTTTCCTTTGCTTCCCTCTACTCAGCATCCTTTCTGTTTAGCCCATCATGCTCCATGCTCCTTTGTTGCTGCTCTTCCCAATATCCACCACATACTCTCCTTTCTCCACTCTCATTTTGATGATCTGCTCCCAGAATTGCTCCCTTCTATGTCTATGCATTGGTGTAGGGCACATCTCCCTATGCGGGCATACAATGCTCGGCACAGTAGGACCCTAACCTGCTAATGGTCTTGGCCAGCTTGTTTCAGAGGCACATGTGAACATAGCACAAAATTAGGTAGTTACTTCTTACCGTTTAGTCTGGCTGCCTGGTTTATGGGAGACCCCTTTCCTCTTCATCAGCTTCTCCACTGTATTAGGGTGGATTATTGGTCTGACTGGGTGGCGTTTATAAGTCCCAGGATATTTCTTTTCCACTGCTTGTTCTCTCCTGGAACATTGGGCAAGAAAAAAACAGACCAGTTTTCTCTCTATCCAACTGCAGCTCCTGCTGGACAGAAACACAGCTGTACAATGAGCACACTGCGTGCCTGTTTCTCAGCTATGGCTGGGTGCAACACAACATGCTGTTCTGGGAAAGGACAGAGTCATTTTCTAAATTCTCTCTGCAGAGATCAGGCAGTTGGAACATGGCCCTGGCACACAGTCCAGAAACAGCGCTGCTTTTCTCTTTACAAAGGGGCCAAAGGATGCCAATACCAAATGGGAAAGATGCCTGTCTCTCAGTTGGTAAACACAGTGTAAAGATGCATGCACTAAGTGGTCTGCAGTGGTCTGCTCATAAGGGGCCCATCACTGCCTGCCAGCCCTTTGTTTAGCTCTAAAATAATGCCAGGGGACACTAAATCTACAAGTGCTGCTGCACAGTTTAGAAACGAAGCATTGGTTTATTCTCCAGTGTGCAAACTGCCATGTGTGTAGCATACCATTCTGCTATGGATACATACTTTATGAGCTCCTTCTCACGGACCTCCAGCTGCAGCATAATAGCGCTGAGCTCCATGTATAAGTTATTGGCTCGCTCCAGCTTCCTCTCATAGTGCTCGCGGATATCCAACGCATGTCTGAAAAACAGAAAAAAAATCATGGCTCCTGAGTCTCATGCCTGTGGAACAAAGAGGATAAGGAAATACACAGGTGGTTTAGGAAAAGACCTTCTAAAAGTGAAATCTGCCAGCAGCACGGCACTGTCTGTGAACTCCTAATAAAGCTAACAGCAAATAAAGGTTAAGAGCTTGATACTATGAATAAATCATGATATGATTTAGAAAGTGTTTAACAGTCTTGAATAAGTGGCAACACTTCTCACTAGAGAAGCTGCAAATGCCTTTCATGCATCCATAAGCCCTTCAGCCAAGTCCTAATCATCTTGTTTGCACAGAAGTCATCAGTTTGTATTTCACATAAAGCAGCATGTCCCTACAGCTACAGTATAGTTGCATAAGACATTTCAAACCACAGCTGGAAGATCTGGCCTTCAAAAGCTTCGTTGGGGCTAAGGAACACTGATCAACAACTACAGCAAATTGACTGAACAGTGCTTCCTTTGATTTCTCAGGTTTGACATACTTGGTGGTTCTCTGCAACAACTATCTTTGTAAGTCTGTACCACAGAAGATAACACTTTGCTTTCTTAAATAAACATTCTGCTTTCATTTTTAAGTTGGTCTAGTGTTCACAATGAATTTCAGTGGGATGATAAATTGGATGTGTTCACTTCTCTGGAAACAAAGAATACAAACAAAATATCAGGTATAAGAAACCTCACAGCAAACTGCAAGATGCATTTCCTGTTAAGAAATTTGCTTCTGCACTGTTATCACAAGTGCCATAACTCAGGCAGAAACATTCCCTGGTGAACACACAAGCCTTTGCCTCTCTTGCCTGAGGAAAACTGTTCAGACAGCCCAAGAGCAGGAACAGTTCCCACTGTTTCTTTCTCTGTGGCTTTCCACCAGTTAAGCAGTGCTCGAAGCCTAGAGCAGGCCTGCAGGAACTTCAGATTCTGGACTCATGAGGAATATTGAGTCTGCCTGAATTTATGCCACCAGGAATACCAAGCCCTGTTCTGGAGCCCTCAGTACACGAGGGGAATGAAAGCTGTCAGGGACAGTCTTCAGGGACAGTCTCTCTCCAGGACAGGCTGAGGGGGCTGGGCTCATTTAGCTGGAGAAGGCTGGATTGGGTAAGCGAGCAAGGCACGTGGAAGGCTACCAACTGACCTCAGCTCTTCTCTTCGACGACGAATCAATTCTTCATCTAGCCGGTGGATACAAGTTCCTTCGCTTTTAATCTTCTCAAAATGCTTCTTCACTTCTTCTCTCCATTCAGCCTAGGGAAGCAATTTACTCTCAGGTATTTACAAAGGATTGGGATCCCTAGTTCCACCAAAGAAAAACTCTTGGACAACATTCTTTGCTTCTGCAGAAAATTGCAGGTCTGGGTTGAAAACATGTTACCCAAAGTAATTCAGCTAAAAGAAGTAACACTGTAGCAGATGTACTTTCAGCATTTTAAACTGATACTTCCAATTTTGTGCTTCAATTGTATCATTTAAAATATACCTGTATTTTCTAAAAAATAAATAAATCTCTCATAAAGCTTTCCATCCTAAGACAACATTTTCTTCCCTTTTGGATATGAAGAAAACAGAAAGGCTGATGATTTGGAAAGCTATGTGCTTGACAAAGATGACAGTCAGTAGGATGACATAACTCTGTTTACCCCTCAAAGCCCTGCTTCTTGCAGCCTTAAGAAATGTATCCATCCACTTTCTCTCATACACTGTATAGATCCTTTATGCACCAGGGGGTAAGTTCCTTTCTCATTCCCAGCCTGACAGCAGCTGGGTAGGACTCAGAGGAATCTCAAAGACCATACACTTTCTGATCCTCCCTACGAGTCCCAGAGTACCTTCATTGCCCTGCGATAGCTGCCCTGCTCATCTTCACTACAAATGCAACGGTTCCTCTCAACAGTCTCATGGTCTCCTGTACCAGAGGAGAGCTGGGAGCAGAACTTCTAAAGTCAGCGATCTCAAGGAGAACTCCATAAGATAACAGAGTTTCTGACTGATGTTGGTGGACGTCTCAGTTTGTCAAAGTTTGGGTAAAAGATTTTAAAATACCTATCAGCTCACTTCTCCCCAGGAATCAAAGTGAAATCATGGGTCTTGACCTCTGCTGTATTTGGTGCAGCCTGTGAAATCAGACCCTTGCAGCTATCTCTTGCTCAACGGCCAAAGCCACTCCCCAGTTACCTGTGATTTGAAATAGGTTTCCTGAGGAGTAGCCAGCACATCAGCAGATGCAATATCCAGGTGCATCAGTGTCTGTCGGAAGGAGGGACGATTCCGGGGCTTGCTCTGCCTGGAACAAAACAGACAGATGTCCACCATGAGATCAGGTTAACAGTGCTGGCTACTGCTGCCCTTCTGAAAGTATTTCTCACTAGAATCAATTCTCTGAATGCAGCAGCTGACAGATTAAAGTTGCTTCTCAGGTTTTGTCCTTTGTAGAATGTGAGTTTATTGTGCTAGAGTAGTTTTTTATTCTGCTTTTGGTTTGATCTATCCTACAGAAATGGGAAAGATGAAAGCCATTTAAAATAGGAAAACTTGATCACAAATTGAAAGATAGGAACTAAGATGAAATTACTCCTAACTTGTTAAGCAAGAAGAAATGGATTATTTCCATTTTAAGATTTGGAAATTATTCAGATAATGAAATGAAATCGATCTAGTAGAGATGATAGTCTAATAATTTACATTCAACATAACAGGATACCTAAAAACACTATGTGATGACACAGTACGTGCCTGAGCCTATACAGTATTGTAACACACCGAGCATCTGTGTGAGATCCTACTCAAGTACAAATCCTTTTGTATCTTTAAGAGACCAGCAGTCAAGCCTGAAGACTGAACCACCAGACACACTTGTATCTCCACCTAGTGGAAGGAGGTGATTTGTAGGGGAGAGGTGGCTGAAGAAGCTGCTTCTTGTCCTAAACAATGCGTCCATGCTCCAGACTTGCTGCATGGACTCATTGTTTAGGACAAGAAACAGCTTCTTCACCTCCTTCCACTAGGTGGAGATATAAGTGTATGTACACACTGCTCAGAGCTGCAAGAACTGCCTCCTGCATTTTGCGTCCATGCGCAGAAGCACAGCCAGGCAGAGCATCCGTCTCAGCACAGACACTGCAACAGCATGCACTGCTGTATCTCAGGATCACGAGAGTAAACAGGCATTTTAAAGATCCACACAGGTTTTGGTCTGTTCTTCCCTTTGTACCTTTGGGAGGATGGCTGGTATAACTCAGTGTGGAAAAATGCTGGAAGATCACTTAAATGCTGTGTCAAGATGCAATTGCAGAGGTTAACGATTAATACAGAACCCAAAACCAGGAATTTCAACTCTAATCTGGCAGACAGAAGTAACTGAAAGCATTTCCCATATCTACATGTGCAAAAACCTGGTTTCGTACATACAGTTTGAAATTCTCTCTGTCCAGTTCAAAGAACAGTCATTTTAAAAGAGGGTTCACAGAGTGTTCAGAAAAAAAAAATATACATATATATCCTTTCACTCTGGAGCCAGCCAGAGCCCTCCCTGGCCCTGTCTGCCCAGCAAACCACACAGGTTTTTTCCTACTTTCCCTGAACTCCAGATTTCCTTCCTGAGTCCAGTCCTGGTACCATAAGGAAGCAGAATCTAAAACATTAAAATTGATTGTTCTTCTGACAAGTGTGAGAGTACTTAAGAGCCTTGTGCTCTGGGCTCAACACTCCCGCTCTGATTCTGGTTTCATCAGTTTCAGTGGGAGTCTGGACAGAGCTAAGGGTGAGCCATAGGTCTGTGTGGGCTTCACGGTCTTACCAGGTCTGCTTCATGAGGATTTTGAAGCCATCCGGGCAGGTGGAAGGAACAGGAAGATGCAGGCTGTTACTGCCCACTCCCCAAATGATGGCTGAGGAGTCCACATCCTTGTAGGGAATCTCTCCTGTTAGCAGCTCCCATAAAACTACCCCAAATGACCTGATAAAGAAACAAAGCAGGAGAAAAACTTCCATGTGAATTCAGTTCAACAGAAACAACTGGAGCTTGAAAAACTGCTCTTTGGTGAAAAAGAGAACTAGGTATGTCTGATCTGAAACTGCAAGAAGGGGCAGCACTGTTTAAAAAATGCTAGCTTTTAAACCAAGAGTAGCTATTTCGCACACCAGGTAACTTCCTCCCCTGCCTCAGTTCTGCACTGAACACCAAAGAACACTGGTTTTCACACCTACCCCTTCCTACTTCATTGGAAGTAGGCAGCACATTAGAAGCTTTTCCATGCAGATGGAACCTTACTCTTGTTAAATGAAGAGGAAAGTTTGCTCTGCTGAGATAGACCGTTGACTATTTTTACTGTCAAGAACAAATCATCTGCTACAAGATAGACAGAACTGCTAAGTCTCACAGTGAAGAGCAAAGGTGGTGGGTTTTTGCTTTGCTTTAACAATACATGTCTTTTAACTTTACTTTCTTAACCAAATGTTCCCTTTGCTGTTATGTGTCTTCAACTACCCATGGATGTCCTGGATGTTTCAACAGTTTGAAACTCATGGCTACAACTACTGCAACATGGGAACACGACAAATGCAACATATGTAAAAGTCAGTATCAGCACATGCAATCCCATCTGGTATTTCTTTTGTGCTGAAGACAGGAAGGCCAAAGAGAAAAATATCATTAAGTGAACATTGCCGAGGAAAGAACCTCCTATTACAAGAGGTGAGAATCATAGGTAAGAAAATCACTTTGCGTCTCTTCTTTAGTGAAATGATCAGTAAGGACTAAGACCTTAATTCAGAGCAGCAAACAGCTTTTGGTTTATTTACAACCTTCAACCCAAAAAGCAACAAAAGACAACAAAAAACAACAAAGCCAGTCAGTACAGAGGTAAACAAAATACTGTGGAGAACCAACTTACTGCGCATTAACCAGGCTGCGAGGCAGGCTGAGGTACAAGTGTCTCAATTTCACACACACAAGTGTCACCTTACTTGCGTGCCCCAGCCGTCTGTGGGACACCGACCCTGCCAAGCTCGCTGGTGAGTCAAACCAGGTGAAAAGTGAGAAGTGTGTTTCTGGCTTGTACTAGTATCAAGTTGCTTTTATTAACTACAGAAGAACATCCAGGGGGCAAACTGGCTGGGTCTGAACAACTGACAGTCAGGAAACAGGCCTTCATGTGAAAAACGTCACACATTCAGAACCTACTGGTTTCAAATCATGTGGGGGGGGGAGGGGAAAGCAGAACTGGAACATATTTCCCTCAAAATTTTCTGTGGGCTGCAGGAAAGGAGGGATCCCAGGTGGCTGGATGAGCTATCAGGAAACCCCATCTGGTTTCAGCTTTGTTATGATTAAGACCTGGCAAAGGATTTTGAAGACTCCTGATAAGATTATAGGGTTGGTAAGGTTGTTTTTGTTTTTTAAGCATGCTGCTAAGGATGAGAGAGAGCAGACATATAAGCAGCTTAGGAACTGTTCTCATTTGTTGTCAAGATTCACAAACATCACTTTTACTCATCCTGGGCAAAGAATGGATGTTGAGGATGAGGCTGAGCAATAACCACTGCATCCTCTGAAGAGGAATTTGGACCAAAGGCACCCACCCCTAAGTTTACACGAAGGAGCAATATCTCTAAATCACTGAGAAAAGGGGTCAAGGAGTGCTCACAGTCCTCAGCAGAGCTAGCAGCTTTTTTTTTTTTTTTAATATATATATATACACATATTGGACATGATTCTCCACACAATATTCTTGAACCTAAGCCACTCTAAAATACAGAAAACAGAGGGTAGAAATACAGCAGCATTCCTCTTAACAAACTTGTGATTTTAAAGGAGGGGCTCAGAAGACAAATGGTGGATGGATTGTTTCAGAAAGAAAACACAAGAGTTTCTCCTAGAAGAGCTGGCTATGCTGCAGCCTGCTACATCTGCACGAAATGAACACAAAACACTGTGGGCACAAGAAGAGCTGTATATCACACGCTAGAAGACTCTGACTTTCCTTTTCCCTACAAGAAGCCTTGACTTGAAGTCACAGCCCAGCTCTGCATTGAAGCAGCAGCAGTAGGCAGTTGACTGACTTCATTCACACTTTGAGGCACCCACCCACGGCTTTGACCTGCAGCTGCACACAATGTAAGCAACACGGCAACATTCACAGCTGAAAGCCACAAAAAGGAAAATTCATCATGGCTGTAGAAGGGGGAGAAGGGCATTTGTCCTGCCTACTAGCATTCAATAAGCAGAAACAACAAGGCAGGAACAGAAATAATGGTTCCCTCGAGGAACCCTGAAATTCTTTGCAGAGGCATCCCAAAGGAGCCCTAAGGCTTGGTTCTATCTCAAGCATTGTTAGTAGTGTGGAGACCTGAACCTTCCCTTTTGATCATTTGGACAAAAGAGTGCATTTTGCATGGGGTGGAAATCAATGTTCAAACCTCCTACAATGTAACCTGATTTCCTCTCTTGGATTTGAGGGACCATAACCCTGTGGCTGTACACATTTTAGCCAAGTCCAGCACGCAGAAAGCAAAAGGTGTTTGGACCCTTCAAGCCGGCAGAGTAGAGGCAGTTCTACAGTTGAAGCATGTCCATGATCAGAATAGGATGCGAGTAAAAGACACCCTGGCTGCAGAAGCTGCTGAGGAGGCACCACTAGTGGAAGAAAGCTCTGGCCTGGATAGCAAGGGAACTGTTGCATTTGTTTACTTTGGACTCTGCAGGATACAAACAGTCTGCACTGAGTCTCATTAGGGACCCTCAGGGCTTAACACACTGCCTGTACACATGCAAGTCATTCCTCTTTCTGCTACAGCCCATGGTTCAGCAACAGTGTTCAGGGCACTAGACAGATGTAGAAATGAATAGTCATTGACAGCGCAAGCTATCCCCATCCCTAAGAAGAGAGTACTGAATAAGTAAGTGCTGGGAGAACCAAGTGGTTAAATAGCAGGTGAAGGTACTCAACTAAAACAATACTAAATACTCACCAGATATCCACTTTTTCAGAGACGGGCTCATTGCGTATCACCTCTGGGGCCATCCAAGCCACAGTTCCCGCAAAAGACATTTTTGTACTTTTATCACTAAGTTCTTTAGATGTACCAAAATCTGAGATTTTAACTGCATCCGTGTGTGTAACTAAAACACTGGAGAAAAGAAAACAAGAAATCAGCATCTTGCGAGTTGTCTTGAGCCACTGTGAATCACTTCCTAATCAATACAAACAATTGAGGAGGCCTTGCTGCTTATGACTACAGTACAAAGAAAAAGACTCTACATTTTCACTGGTGAAAACACTCCATTAGGGTGATTGTTTCTTTGTCTCTCAACTATTCTAAATTCTACAAGTAAAAAAAAAAAAAGCAGCAAATTAAGAAGTCACTGAAAATGTGCTTTATCTGGGAACATTTCAAAGTTTTAGTAAAGCTCTACCTCAATAAACTGTAAAACATTTAAAAGCCTCAACCTAACATACTGTCAGTCTTGTCACAGGCTAAAGGAGCAATAAAAAAATATCTAGGGAATAAGGATATAAGCAGCTAGAGATAGTTTTAGTTGGAAAGCAACAGATAACAGAAATTTCCAGAAAAACAGGGAAATATAAAACAAATAAGATAGAAAAAAATAAAAAAGCAGAAGGCAACAGAATATTCCATTTTCCAAGAGGACCAGACACCATCAAATCATTGGAAATATTTCCCAACTACTACTTCCCACATAAGCAATTGGTAAAATTTCCAGTCTTGTCAAATTCCAGCACAGGAGGAGAGTACCACAAGTTTCATTAGTTTCACTCATTAGCTATGAGTCAAAGTGGAAAGAAAAAAAAAAAAGGCATAACTTTAAACTGTTCCTCAAGAACAACAGGCAATCACAACTGGGGGGATGTTTAAGTAGCTGGAGACTCACTTTGGTGACTTGAGGTCTCGATGGATGATCTTGTGAAGGTGCAGGTAATTCATCCCACTAGCGATCCCAGTGGACCAATCCACAAGCAGCCGAGGAGTGACTTTCCGGCCTGCACGCAAGACTTCATAGAGCTGTCCATGTGCACAATACTCCATGATGATACAGTAGCATGGGGCTTGAGTGCAAACTCCCCTGTTAAAGGAAACACATATCCAGTGAGAATCAGGACAGCTACAAATCCCAGAGCAATTCTCAGAGGTAGCAGCCAAGGGGCAGGAGAGTAACCTGTTTACCCTGCCTGGGCAAGGCTCTGCTAACAGCTCTCCTTATTGTACAGGAAGGGGAACCCTTTGCACAGAAGGAACCCAATTTGTGACAATTTGTTTCCTTCAATTTCCTACAACTGTGGGTTCATAGGGTTCAGAGCAAGCACTTCATGAGCCTGCATGCAAAGTGAGCCCAAGTGCAAAGTGCAGCACTGGGTGGGGATGGTGTCCACATATTTGCTGTCACAACAATGTGCAATGATTTAAGAGAGGAAGCAAAGAACACCACCACCCATTTTGTCCTGCAGTCAATGTAACTTAGTTCCTGGATTTAAAAGCCTGCCCAGCCATAACAAACAGCTCTTTCCTGGACAGAGGTAGTGCTGGGTATGTTTCTCACAAACTTCACAACCTACTTGAAGGCAATGATGTTAGGATGCTTGAGTTTCCGCAGGTGCTTGATATCCGTTTCGTTCTGATCTCTCACTTTCTTGATGGCCACTTCCTCCGCCCGGAATTTGCCCAGGAAGACGGCTCCTTGCGCGCCACTGCCCAGCCACTGCAGCTCCGAGATCTCCTCGAACGGGACCTCCCAGGTATCTAGGCAAAGGCAAAGGGAGCAGCGTGAAGGAGCAAGACCAAAAAACTCTCTGCTGTAAGACCACACTGAGACAGCACCTGCCATCTCCCTTGTTACAGCTCAAGGTGGATTTTTGGGGCTGGGAGATGGCATCTCCTCCCAGCACAGGGATGCTCAGCCCCAGCAGCCCTTTCCTCCAGTTCCTCTCACATCACAGTTGCCTCCAGACTGTCCCTTCTCAACCTCCAGGGGCTTATTCCAAGAGCTCACCACCACTGCCAAACACTTGGGCGAGCCACTCTGATGTGGCAGGCAGCAGTTTCACATATCAGGGACAATGGGCTGGCAGATTAGGGAGCGGATCCTCTACTCCAAGACTGAAGGATGATGGTACCTGTTATTAACTATATGACCCCATTGAAAAGCATGGATGAGAAGAAGCATTTAGCATTCATAATTTACAAAAAAAAAAAAAATATATCCTGATTTTTTTCCCCTAGAAACAGATCAAAAATAATAAATCAGAAAGAAAGTCAGAGGTGGAAGGTTGGAAAATCCAGAGCAGCAACCACCAAGTTACCCAACACAAAGCACATTAACCACCACTATGGGTCATAGAAACAGGTCTTTCCCACACCAACTTTGTGTATACCTGCTGTCAAACAAGCAAAAATATCTTAAGGGACTGCTCGCCTTTGGTATTTGCACATATCTTATTTGGGCACTGTCAGAGCTGCCCAGGAAAGCTGCTTGTACTGCTTAAAGAAAGCTGTGCCCACCAGAACAGCAGGCCTTGCCGTCTGCGAGGCACCTTGAAATTACCTTAACCTCAAGACAAAATGCAAGCAATAATGTATTTACTGTAACTCAATAAATGCTTAAGTTTAGAGAATAAATTATTTAGCAGCAAAAGCAACACTTAAGCCCCTAATTTCTGAAAGAAGAACGCCAGGCCTGCGCAGCCCCATTTCAGGTCACCACAAAGACGCGGCGTTGTCTTGTTTCATCCAGCCCCCAGCCACTGGGGGTTACCAGGGCTGCAGCTGGGACTGTGCCGAAGCATCCATTACTGTCATCACTGAAGGAAAACCCAGACTGCTAAACTTCCTCTGGGACTGATCCCGATCTGAGGCTTTGCCTCAGAGCACTCCTGCGACGCTCAGACATCACCACATGAGCGCTCGCCTGGCACAGCTAGGGAGGGCCTGCTCCCACCCACAGCCAGACCCTAGCGCCCACTCTGCTCGCTGAATTGTAAAAAAAACATTGTTAATCAACAGCAAAAACACCCTTTGACCTTCCAGGGCAAAGTTCAGCATGGCTCCTGGCAGATAAGTCTAGCTTTTGTACTGATACACCCAGCCACAACCTTACGTTGTGCAGAAGCATGAAGAGGAGAGGGCACGTGGCTCTCGGCTGCAAGGCACTGTAACAGCTGGGGGTTTGCAGCGGGTGATCCCCATCCTCAGCTTACAAGATGCCGTGACAGACATGGGAAGGCTGCATTGCCTACCAGCACGTGTACTTCTGTGCTGAAGCAAGAACTGTCTGTCAGCTAAGAAACTACGAGGAAGCGATGCATGAAATATGTTATTAGCACCACCTAGATCACAGGACGTTCAAGCATTATAAAATCATAATCATTCTTCTTCAATAAACAACTTGAGTCATTTGTCACAACACTTAAAATTGGTATTTAATCAAAAGGCAGGTCTTTAAATAAGGAGAATACATTCATACATAGAGAAATTGAGATATACATATTGCTACTTAATTGACAAACACCTTGCTTCTGAAAGGTGCTAAATACAGTTCGGGTTTTGTGGTGGCTGACGAACAAGTTACTTATGTGGGCAACAAGGAAACTATTCCACTGCACTCAAATAGCTGTTTCATTACCTATCAGACTGCCTTTCCTGTACAAGCATGCAACATTGTCATTTACTTCCCTGAAGGGCCCAGGTTTGGGAGTGGCACTGGGAACCTATACTGCTACCCATTAGGAGCAGGTCAGGTCCCTTAACATTAGCTGTTATCCTCTCCGATGGCACAGACGGAGACTGTAAGCAAAGTTAGTAGAAGTTCACCAGCCCCTCCTGCAGAGTCACCTAGTGTTTATTTGGTAAGGAATACCCGTGATGTGACCCATCCTATATCCCAGCTGCAGCCTGAACACCAGAGGCATGGCTCAGGGATGCCATGGGTTTCCCATCAGGGATGCCATGGGGATGCCATCAGGGTTTCAGCAGAGAAGGATCACACAGTCGCCCAGTGAAGCATCCTGCATCTGAGCATCTCAGGAGCACAGAGCCAAACCACACTTAAGACAACGCAACAGTCAGACAGAAATCCCCTGCTCTGAAAAGTTCACTGAACAGGAATAGGATACAACATTTTGGGACAGCCAGGGAGTCATTTGGCTTCCATAACAGAACAAGCACCAAAAAGCTTCCCAATGAAACTGAGGCTGGTTGAGAACACTGGGTTACCTTCAGGGGAAAAACAGGGTTTTAGCATCAGTGGTGCAAACCTAGAACCCAAACCTGCCAACTGAAAAAACGCACACAAGTTACCTTATACACATGCTCCTGCTGCTCCCAGGAACCTCCCTTGAGGACAGCAGCCTGACAAGGGTCGGTATTAGAAGTACCAGGTCAGATCAGCTCTGCTGAGGGGCAATGGGCAAGACTGCAAAAGAGAGGACTGGACACAACCACAGCTGCACCCAGCAGGAAGCTGTGGCCATACACAGCACATGCAGAGAAGGCTGTGAGCCCCCCCTTGGCCTGCACAAAGCATCCTGAGCAGGCCTCGAAGCAGAGGACGGTGAATGACGGTGTGCCAGCCGCAGCACTTCTGTGGGGCAGGCACATTGAGGTGATGCCGAGCTCTCGGATCCCAACCAACAACTCAAAACAGAAAAGGACTTGCCTAAACCAGATGCAAGACTTTGGGTGCATGGCTATGACAACGAACCCTAGCCAAGTCAGGATGTCCATGAGAACAACACTTCAGATGACATGATGAGTGGCCAGGAGACACATCTGGACACACTAATCCCTGCCAGTTTGATCAAGCAGCCCATGGCATTGCTTGGCCAAATCCCATGGGGCTGCCCAGGCCCAGGGCTCACTACAGCTCTCCTAGCACATCTCCCAGCAGGAGAGAGCTGAGGACATCTCCTACCAGCACAGAGCAGTTTGTATTCCAGGCCCTTCTGGACCTCCACGAACTTGTGGGACACTTCCTTTAAATAAATTAAAGCACAATAGCAGCTGGCATTACGCAAGAGCTTGCGTTTCTAAGGTGATTAAGAACCATTTGAGTAGAATGATGGTAATCTGTATCCCAAGGGGAAGAAACGCAGGAGCAGCCGAGCCATCTATTTGAAGCAAATTTTTGCTGTTTGCTAGCACTGGCTGCTCGCCAGCACTGGCATCACGACAAGCAGCATCTCTGCTTTATAAAAAACCACACGCACACTTCAACAAGCACCTTGATCTCCGGGCTTATATGGGAATGAAGGCAACCGTGTAACTTGTGAAATGGAAGGTGAGAGCAACACCTGAAGAACTGACTCTTAATCCAAAGGAAATGGCTCGAAAGTCTAATCAACCCTTACAAAACACAACCTAGCCTTACCATGAAGAAGAAAGGCACAGAAACACTCTTCTTGATGACCATCTTGAATGCTAAGGAGGAAAGGAAGGGAGTAATTTCAACCTGAAGAGAATGAGGAATCCCATTACATCTGGTTTTCTTACCCTTTTCCCTCACCCACCAAGTCCCAAAGCAGGCCTGGCAGGCAACACGTACTCAGTATCAGGCATTTCCAAAAGGCATGAAGCCTACTTCTCTCTTACCATGTGCAACCGCCCCACTACAGCACCCATATCCTCATGCCTGGGCAACCTGTGCTCCCAGAGGAGCAGCAGCTGCCCGAAGGGGACACAGGCAGGGGAGCAGAGCTGCTGGTGAGCCACAACAAGGACTCGCAGTTACCGGCAGTGCCCGTGCCTGAAGGTCCACACCAGACTCATAGCCCAGTGGTGATTCAGCCCAACACAAAGTATTGCTCCAGGATTAGCAACAGAATGCTCCTCTGGCTTAACGGAGTTGCTTCATGAAGAGGCGACAAATCATCTGCACAGACCTGTGGCAGCAGCCCCGAGCTGTAAATAAGCTCCCCGGGGGAACGAAAGGCTGTCCCATACATCCCTATGCTGCCAAAAGGGCCAGGGGCGTTTCCGCAGCCTCCAAACACAGAAGGCTGCACAAACATGAACCTTGAAGCTGTTCTGCTCTTGCTAAACAGGACAAGAGTAAAAAATCCCATACTTAGGATACCAACCTGGTGGTCTGCACGTAGCTGATGAAGTGTACCAACACGGAAGTAATAAGCAGGAATGAGATCATTTGGAAAGCAGAGTATAAGCATTCTGACAAAATCCTCAAGCTTTAGCAGAGAACCAGCTTTAAAAGCTTTGTCCCCAGACACTAGTAGTCATCTAACGCCACCAGAGCAAATCTGTAGAAGAAACATCCTTTCATTCTCCCTTATGACAGTGAAGATGTTGAAGATGCAGCTAAACCACATAGGCCACACACAGTTGACCCAGATTACTCTTCAGCCTTGCCACATCTGTGGCCATTTCAGAACTGCCCTTTGAGGAAGCACCTAATGGCAACGGCAAACTGCGAAGCATCCATGGATCTCTGGCTCTGAACATACTCGTGACACTGAGAATGGCACACTACCTTTGTAGTGAGAAGAGGAGCTCTAAATACATCCCCTAAACACAACAACACTCTCAGCTGCTCATTATCATTAGTTAGTGCTTCAATCTTTTTTATTAGTGACTGTCATACAAAAGGAAGCGTCCCCTATGGGCCATCAAGGCACGTATTAAACCACTGGTCTCCAGTGCATCCACTGTCCCAATTATATGCAAAATACGACCTCTTTGCTTCCCAGGTAGCTTTCCTGAAGCCACCATCTGAGCTTGCACACGTGTGCAAGCACAGGATGGTCCCACAGCCCCAGTCTGACCTGGTGAAAAGTCTGACAGTGCTCACACGCAATATTCGTAGGATCACTGTAAGCAGACGATGCAGCTCTGCAACACGAAGGGTCCAGACTTCTAGAAAGCGCCGCACAGATCTAGAAAGCTGTGGGCAAGGTGCACTTGCAGCGTGATACTCATGCATCAGTGCAATTTAGAACAAGAATTTCCTTTGTGAAGGATTGCACAGAGAAACAGTTTCTTACTCTCAAATGCCACATTAAAAAAAATCTCTGAACAAATAATAATAAAACAAAACAGAGAGAAATTAGGGGCTGAAATCATGGAATTATTAATATTAATTTAAAAACATATATATATTCATTAAGCTTTGTGTTCTTCTCATTGAGTTTTTGATGCAAAACTGGACTGTTTGTTTAAGAATATAAAGAGTATAATAGCTACTGATATATAAAGTGTCATCTCATTCAAAAGTTTCAGCTTCACTGAAAAATACTGATTGTAATATAACATATTACAACCCAAAGCAGCATAACACTGACATACCGATATCACGCCTCCTCCAGATACCTGACTGCTCAGCAGCTCGTTTTCCTTTACAAAGGAGGTTCCAACCAGACTCCGTCTCTTCCAGAACTCACCACATCTGACTCCGCATATTGTGCGATCCTTCCAGCAGTTTATAGACTCCAGTGCATTTCCAATATTTATAGACTCATTCAGGTGTGACGTACCGAGTTCCAAGCATGTGGACAAAACTTCAAACCTCCTCTGCAGAAGGACCGCGAGCACAGCCAGGGCACTGCTCAGCACACAGCACTGCTCAGCAGGGCTCTGCTGCCCAGGAGGACACCTGCCATTCTGCAGCGCGCAGGAGGATTTCCCTGCTCAGAATTAAGGACTGGAAGTGACTGACTCTTGGAAGAAGCTGTCAGTTTATTTCCAGCCAGATTCACCCAACGTGCTATTTAACCGTGCTGTTACCTCAGCTTAGGAACTGCTCCCCAACAAACCGGTCTGTAGGTGTAGGTATGAACAACGTCAGCTGCTAACAATAAGATTTGTGGTTGGAAAACCTGTAACTTGTCTATGCCAGAAAATCATTTGATTTAAACTGAGTCATGATCACAGGAGGCTTCTACCCCACAGTAGTGGTGTGGTGGCCAGGCTGTTCCTGTTGACACCTCACCCATTTCAGCTCCTTAATTCAAATGACAGCTTGTTCTTTTCCCATCTGCCACTTCCCTCCCCCTGTGCTAGGGGAGAAATTGGACACCAAAGGCATAGCATACTCAGCTCTTAAGCTTTCAGTAGCCCCTAAGGATACACATATGCAAGCATTTGGGACATAGCTTATTCCCAAATTACATTTTTCAGAAATAAACATGTATTTTTTTTCCCATGTAACGTGCCCATAGAGAAGCAATATTTCTGTTATTTGGCAGTCAACTGGAGACAACCCTTGTGCACATGCAGGAGAAGTCGTCCCTATGTCAAGCTCACCTGGCACGAGAAAAGTGCAGAAATTAAGTAGTTGGCTTGATCCCCCATTTGCCACAGTTCTTTCTGTTTCTCACTTAAAAAATACCTGGTTCAGATTCAGACTTTGTCATGACAGCCCAGGGCCTGGGTCAGAATATGCGTTTATTTTTCACTCTGTCCCTTGCAGCCTTTGCTGCCAATGAGCGCTGTAGGCTGTGCAGCACAGGATTTCTCTTTGCAAACCCATTACAGTGCTGTATGTGGCAAAATGGTCACACAAAAAGCTGAGAAAAAGCCCTCGGTTCTTTCCACATCTTCACACACTGCCCCAGAAGAAACAAAGGTCATCTTCCCTACTTACCTTGCTGTTGCAGTTTGTAGTCTGTGGAGTACGCTTTGCCTATGATGTTCCACACGGGCCTCAGACAACCAAAGAGTCCCTCGAGAAACCCACCGCTCCCACTGCCTGATCTGTTGAACTGGACTTTGACGTCGTCTGCTCCACTGTTGCTCTCTCCATCCATAGTGCTCCTGTTGCCCTGAGGAATGGCTGCTTCGGATTCATCCTGCTCCCGCAGCTGCAGCACGCTGTTCTCAAATTGGTCCCTAGAGTCCTCGCTGATGCTGGTCAGCACTGCTGCAGTGACCGGGCTGCTCATGTTCTCAATGAGGTCTGCCTGCAGCAAGCCCTTCTCACGCACATCCTCTATGAGCTCGGGGGACGGGTGGTTTCCCGTAGGTCCATGCTCATCATGTACCCTACCAAAGTCTTTATCTTCACAGAAAGCTTTGCCAATCGAGTTTGGAGAGGAAGACAAGCTCAGACGCTCCTGAGTACTGGCCATGATGCCGTGAGTGTGCATCAAGGAGATGGTCGGAGTTGGTACTTAGAGAATTAGTGACATGAGGACCCAGTACCTGGAAGGAGAGAAAAAAGAACAACTTTCAGATTTTTATTCAAGTGTTTTCACAACGTACACTTTTGAGAGGTGAGCTGATAATTAACTAGCCAGACCAGACAACCACTGATACTTATTAAATACTTACTGCCCTCAAAGAAGCAAATAAATTATTCCTACAGAAACTCCACTGGCACAGTACTCTCAGTAACCTAGAGCAGGAATTGCCCGGTAAACAAACACCACTAGTCATACACAAAAGCCTCAAGGTCAGAGCTGTGAAAGACAGTCTGCAGCACAGAATGGTCCCTTTGTGATTAGTACACAGTCCTTCTCAGACTGAAGCTGATCCCCAGGTGTTTTCCAGCTCAGGCACAGTCTGAGTGCAGTCACTGCTTCTGGGTCTGGTGCAGCTCACAGACTCAGAATTCCTCTGCAAAGCCCCGAGATGAGGCATTAGAAAAACACAGCACAGCAATACTGTGTCCTGAATCCACCAAGGGGTGGCTGTACCTGCTCCCTCAGAGGCCCAACAAGTCGTGGCCATGCTAATCCTTCAGTTTAATACCATCAAGGTCAATATAGCAAGGCATTACATTCTCTAACCATGTTATCCTCAAAACCACTGAAGACTTACAGAACTCACCAGGAACAGTACTCGCCCCTCATCTCCCTCCTCCTGCCAGCCCGCCGAGCGCCTCCTCCTGCTCTGCTGCTTCCCCTGGCACGTATAAACTCAGAGCTGGTGCCTCCTCCTCAAAGTCCCCCCATCTCTTTGCTCTTGCCCCGTGCCCCACTGCAGCTCCCCCTTCCACGAGGCAGCCTCGTGCCACCTCTCGGTGTAGCCAGCCTGCACACAGAGCCGGGGGGCAGCCAAGGGTCCTGTGGCGCTGCGCTGGCTGCCCACCAGGGACAAGCCTAACCTTGTGCCTGAAGCCATTAAGCACATGCAGCCTGTAACGGGACAAAGTCCAACCTTAAATCCCACATGAAGTTTAGAGGGGGAAAATGGCAGTAAGAGAACCTATTTTGTTAAAAAGTAAGATCAGTTACAGTTGGTGCAAAGTCCCGAGCTCTGCAAACAGGCACTGAAGGGAAGAAAGAGGTGGCCAGCTCCATGCAGCCAATCGCAAGGGAACAGCTCAGGCCCGTAAATTCTCAAGATGAGGTCATTACAGAGATTAAAGATAAGAACTTCAGCTTGGTGTATGAAAAGCTGATGCCTTGTGCTTCAGTCCCTCTGCAGCAGCGTCAAATGGGAACAGCCAAGAGCCTGTTTCCACATCCCCTTATGTCCACCTGCTCACGCGGGGTACATATAAGAGCTTTTCTAAAGGACGTCATCTCGGTTGTAAACTTAATTTTTTTAAGGGAAAGCAAAATAGCAAGCGAGTCCAAAACTGCATCACAGTCTATGCTGGTAAAGGAACTGACCAACATGAACAGGAATCTTGGAAATTGATTATTCCTGACAGACCTGTGATGGGCATGAAAGGACTGACTCCCTGCCATGGGAAGTTGTAGGGTGCCTGCTGCAGTACGGTTACCGCTAGTAGGAGTTAAATGATGAGAGATTTTGTTGCTGATACAAAGAAGTAAAAGGGCAAAGTTCAAAGCTGAACAGAGTTTCAGAAAAATACCAAACCAGCTCCAACTCAGCAATCCTGGGCACTCCCCTGATATTTCCAGAGGTCTGAAAGGGACGAGTGATTTTTTTTATGCAAAAGCAAAGTGTGACCAATGTTCCCACAGTGGAATCTGCTTTTTACAAAACAGCATGTTAAGCAATGTAAGTAGAACATTAGTCTCAGTTTCACCTGAAAAAATCTCTGAACTAAGATCCAAAACAAGAATTTGAGATAACTGTGTCTCAAAATACCTCAAGTTTAAACAATGGGAAGTGCATTAAGGATTAAATCAGACTTGGGGGATAAAATTATTTTACTCTTACACGATTCTGTAAATACACTAGCTAATAAAAAACTAGGATTTTGCTGTTACCTTTTCACATAGTTTCCCGACTCTGGAATGTTGGATTGTGTAGATTTAATAGAGAAAGAACAGCTTTCCTGGAATACTTTCCACATTTGCCTTGTTTCTAGATGGATTATCAGCACCATATGCGCCTCCCCCTGCATTTCCCAGCATTGCATGGGAAGTTAAGCCTCTCTTTTTCATCCTGCTACTGAGGCACTGCAACATTTGTAAGTTGTGCTGCCACCAGCTACCAGACCACCCTGACCCTCAGTTCTCTTGTACCCCAATATTATTTGCCCTACAGAGGCCCACAGCCTTCCACCGAGATCAGGGGCACAATACAGCACAAAATGCAAAGGCACAAAGAATCCTTTTTATTGTTCTCAAGAAAAAGACAAAGTTGAGGCGAACCGTATGCATTTTCCGCACTAGATACAGTAGGCTGGCCACCAAGTCAGATGTTCTGTCTGAGAAAGACCTCTGGAAGATACCAGGTTCAACCTCCCTCCTGTCCATGGCAGGGCCAGCACAACACCGCCCCAGTGACTGATAACACAGCCAAGAACAAAACCCCGACTTTGTGGACACCAGGTCTGCCGTGGATCAACCTCCCTTCTCCAAGTCCTAGCTGTTTCAAATAATAATCATAAAGTATGGTATATAGAGCATATATAGTATATACTACTATATCTGCTTCATCAAGTCAGGAGGAAGGGACAGGAGGTGCACAAAAGTTACGGAATTGTTTTCTAACCAGCATGATAGAGCCTTATTTAGGTACTTACATAAGCAGCCTGATTTTTCAGAGGTGTAGTGAACTCATTGAGAGCATGAGAAGGCAGCATTTATTTTAAAACAACTCCGTATCGGGCCTATATGAAGTAAAGTAGTCCAAATACGTTAGCAGGGGGTAGAAGGCAGTGGTTGCCACAATGCATCAATGTTGACTTTTTGGGGAAATGAATTTTTTTAAATCATCTTATATTACAGTAAATTCTGCAATGCACCACCTCTTCCCCCAGCAAAATTTGATTTAACACTAACAAATTAGGTTGTCCTCGACCTTGCCATCTCTTTCATCAAGGGATAAAGAGAATTTTTCAAGCTTTACTGTCATGCCTCCCCTATTCTTTGTTCACGGTACCGAGGATATGGCTGAGATCATTCATATTGAACTGAAAAAAACATTTCATTGAAAGTTTAAAGTTTCATTTTACACAGAGTGTTTGCTGTTTGGGATGTTTATGATTGGTATGTGCCTCTTTAACTTGTACAGTGAAGAGCATAGACAAGCGGCATTCTGTTTCTGTCTTACCGACGCTTCTGCCATAGCAGTCTCCAAGTCAAAGCTGAAAGCTGCATGCATGTGTAGGAGGACTGTGTGCATAGTTAAGATACTCAGATTTCACAAAGTGCTTCTGCAACAGCAGACTTCAAGGCAGAGCCTCTGATTTGAGCTATTTTGATGAGTTCAGGCACTCTGCAGCTAAAAAATTTGTTTTAGTTTATAAGGAAATTTAGGGCTCAGTATAATTTTGTACAATCACAACTTTTTGTGATTCTATTTCCAGGCACAGCTTTTTTCCCTGCAAAATCCCACCATGCCCAACAAAAAGCAGGACAAAGCACACCTCTTTTAAGAAGAAAGAGACTGACTGCACCTTAGCATGCCAGCCAGCCTGCACTGCAGTTTACAACTATTAGAAGAATGACAGATCAGGTGAGGCAGCACCAGTGGGTGAATCACTTATCACAAGACGTGCTCTCACATCGCCTGATCCTGCGTGCCCCTGGAAGCATCCCCCAGGAGCGTGTTCTCATGCACACAGAGCCACCAAAGCATGCACTACCTGTACAAGCCAAGCAGATACAACTGTGTCAAAGCAATGGTGGGGTTTGGAGACGTGGCAGAGTTAAACACACAGGCTATGGTGGAAGTTTCTCTTTCGAAGAGCTGTGCTAAGACTCAAGTAGCAAATCGTAATTCTAGACATAGCACGCAAATAAAATCTTAGTATACTATAAAGGCTGCATAAGTACAAAGTAGTCACCACTCGGTTTCCTAATAAGCACATTTCTAGTAATATTTAGTTTCCTTAAACTCTATTTATTACATTACACAGTCAAGCATATTCTGTGCTTGCACTTCCATCATACAAAGGAAATAAAAGCAATCCTCTGATATACAGTTAAGTGTTGAATAAGAGCCGCTGGGCAAGACTAGCAAACTGACAAAGGGCAAGCATCAAGGTCAGAGGGGCTTCCTGTCCACAGCACTACTTACATTCTCACCCTGGAGCTCCCTTACCTTTTCCTGGTACTCAACATGACTTTCTCTTTGCTACATTAGGTACAGCAAAGTAAACACACCTTTCTGCACTGATAACGCAACTGCAGTTAATGTGAATATCATCTCAAGGCTCACACAACGCTCCTGGCTTGGGACAATACTTTAAAACCTTCCAGAATCTAACAAAAATACAAAAAATTTATAAAGTACGGTTATCTCACTATACGCATCCTGCAGCTCTACTGCCCCTGGTGATTATCTCTTTCTGCAGGGAGTTTTCACAACAGGTTGCCACACAGTCCTCTAAGATCTCTTGACCTGGCACATGGTCTAACTTCAGCACATGAAAGAACCGGGAGTTGCTGTGCTGGCGAGTACCACAGCTTTGGCTCTCTTTTCTGACCTCTGGGTTTTGAAATCACATCATTTTTATTCCACAGGATTCCAAAAAAAATGTGTATTATTTTCACATTCTCTTGGTGAGGAAAGTGCTGTTCGAGTGAATCGGATATTCCTCTTATGCTGCACTTGTCCGGTTTTACATCACTGGGAACGCATGCTTGTGTTTTGTATGGTTGTTCTGAACACAGCCTGTGGTAACAGATATATTAATACAGAACGAGATACACTGACCAGCCAAACGCAACCTCTTACTTTTTCTGAAGTAGTATTACTCAGATGAAGGAAATGTAACCGAGCATATCCTGATGCTTCACCCAGCATTGCTCTGCCTTGCCTTCCCTTTTTCATGT